TGGGTGTGTCTTATACACTGAATACAGCATTTTTTTGCCTCCCACCTCCTTCACCAAAATGCCCATGCATAACTTTTAGGAGGCGTCCAGAGAGCTCCTGGGGGCTGGGGAGAGCAAAAGTGAGTGAAAATCAGTTTGTTTTTTGCTCAATTTTGTCCCTCCCCCCAGCCCCCAGAAGCACTCTACAAGCCTCCTAAAGGCTATTCATGCCCCCTTTTTTGGAAAAAAAAAAGCGGGCCCATTTTGGGGGGAAAAAGCCGTTTTTGGGAGGTCTGCAGAGTGCAAAAACTTTTTTTTCAATTTGCCTCTTCAAAAACTTGGTGCGTCTTATACTCCGAAAAATAAAGTAGCCTGATTTTGCTTGACTTGCTTTGGAGCACCTTTTGTTTAATCCAGACATTTTCTGAATTTATTTGAATTAACCAATTGCATCCAAGACTCAGCTGAATCTGATACAATTCTTTACTAGTTTTTAGTGAGATGTCCAAGTCACCATCTTTTAACTTACTTCTAACATCTTCACAAGACGTCAATATTCACTTAGAAAGGGAAGAGAAATGAGCAAGGGAGACCCTGTAAGGTCCTTAAAAATCAAGGCAGCATCCTTTGGAAAGGAGAATATGCATTTCATTTAGGTTTTGTACATGCCTATGCATAGAAATAAATACTGTTCACATAACATTCTTGAATCATAAACTACCCAATCTCATTTACATGTTAATTTAGCAAATTGTGTGAATCCACTCCATGTGGTTATTTTATTCTTCTGGTTATGTTGTGCATAGCCAAAACACTGGATTGAGCTAAATGAAGTTTCTTTAAACTATGTGTTGTGCCAGTCTCTAAATGCAATAGTGACTTAGCTAAAAATATTCCAAGTTTACATTATCATGAGCAAAACTATTTTGAAAAACTGCTTTTAAAAAATGCATCTATAGTCATCCAAGCAACCATTTCCTGAAATTTTCTATTTTCTACCAGCATTTCTGCAAATGTTAAAAATTTTCTCATTAGAATCAGATTGGGAGGAGAATCGTGACTTTGTTTCTAGCTTCTTATAGGTCAAGTTCTATACCTGTAAATAGGTCATGAAGTTTTAGATTTAATCTTCATATTTCAGTTTGTTTCACAAATCTGCTGCAAATCATACGTGCTCTATTCCAAATCATATTTGATTTCACCACTTCTGTAACTCTGTGGGACACGGTGGCTCAGTGGATAAGACGCTGAGCTTGTCGATCAGAAAGGTGGGCAGTTTGGCGGTTCGAATCCCTAGTGCCGCTTAATGAAGTGAACTCCCATTACTTGTCCCAGCTTCTGCCAACCTAGCAGTTCGAAAGCATGTAAAAATGCAAGTAGAAAAAATAGGAACCACCTCTGGTGGGAAGGTAACAGTGCTCCGTGTGCCTTTGGCATTTAGTTATGCCGGCCACATGACCATGGAGACATCTTCGGACAGCGCTGGCTCTTTGGCTTTGAAAGAGAGATGAGCACCACCCCCTAGAGTCAGGAACAACTAGCACATATGTGCAAGAGGAACCTTTAACTTTACCTGTAACTCCATCTTCTGGTCATTACTGGTACAGTATTTTGCCATTATTGGTTTGGTTTTTTTTTCAAAACTGTGTGTCTCCCTTTTACTATTTATGAAACCTTTTTTTAAATGTGTGAAACATTTCCCAATTTGTATACAGTATTGCCTTTATAGTTGGAGTATTAAAAATAAGCCTTAAGCAACTTGCATGAGTCTGCAATACCACAGCTGATTTGAACTCAACATCAGCCCTTTATTTCCAAGGTCATGTTTGCAAAATAATAATAGAATATAGTAACTGCTACACAGATTGTCAATGTAATCACATAGCAAATGAAGAAAGTTGCATTAGTATAAGGTTGAGTTTATCATAACAGTAGTTTCAAGGCAATGGCTTACTTGCCCAATAAATTACATAGAAATCTACCTATTGGTAGCAGAACTCAATCTTTGTGTGAATGCAGTCTTGAATTCATGTTCCGAGATATTCAGATGACACGGTCAGGTAGTACATAATCAGGAATCATGGAGAGGCACTGCTAATTACCTATGGAGATTCTCAGTTATCCAGGTGGTTGCTCCAAAGGTGCTTTTTCAAGAGGCAACTGGACTTTCTGGTTTTTCTTTGAAGACGTTTCACTTCTTATCCAAGAAGCTTCTTCAGCTCTAAAGAAGCTTCTTGGATAAGAAGGGAAAGGCCTTCAAAGAAAAACCAGAAAGTCCAGTTGCCTCTTGAAAAGGCACCTTTGAGAGACTGCCAATTACGTTAGACCAGTGTTTCTCAACCTTGTTCCCTTGAAGATAGCAAAGCTGGCTGAGGAATTTTAGGAACTGAAGTCCACCCATCTTCAAAGGGACAAGATTGAGAAACACTGCACTAGACAAAATTGGTCTAAATCAGTAGACACGAAGCCTGGCCAATGGTTTGACAACCACTATTATCTTGCAACTTAATCTATTTGAAAGAAGGATTCGGACCTGCCCTAATATTCCCTTATCTCCATTAGCAATAGTATCTACAATGCAGGGGTGAAATTCAGCAGGTTCTGGAGAACCTGTAGCAGAAAACTTGAGTAGTTCGGAGAACCAGCAAATACCACCTCTGGCTGACCACAGAGTGGGGTGGGAATGGAGATTTTGCAATATCCTTCCCCTGGAGTGGGGAGGGAATGGTGATTTTGCAGTATCTTTCCCCTGGACTGGGGAGCGAATGGAAATTTTGCAGTATCCTTCCCCCAGGAGTGGGAAGCGAATGGAAATTTTGCAGTATCCTTCCCCCAGGAGTGGGAAGCGAATGGAAATTTTGCAGTATCCTTCCCCCAGGAGTGGGAAGCGAATGGAAATTTTGCAGTATCCTTCCCCTGCCACGCCCTCCAAGCCACGCCCACCGAACCAGAAGTAAAAAAATGAATTTCACCACTGCTAACAATGGTGTGGAACATTGTTACCATTGTTTTCTTCAGCTGCCTGGAAGCCTCTGTTCATATGTTACTCCGTTTCTTTCTACCTTGGAAACGTTCTTGAAATTATTAAATTCATGATCCTTTTATCTGGTTAAAAACCCTTGGTATGAATGATTTCTGGAGGGAGGACTTCATAGCAAGATAGTTCATAGATACTGTATCTACGCATTCATTTGCTTCTCTTTGAAGCTTTAACAGCACCGTTTAATAGGGCATGGCACAAGTTGAGCACCAATAGGTAGAAATTCAGGCTTTTGTTTTTATTACCAAGCTTGTTTTCTTATGTAAGCAGATTATTTCCCATATCTATGAAGCACTAGGACTTTTGTGTGCATAGGTATTCATAGGGCCATTCAGAACAGACAGATATGCAGATCTCCACATGGATTAAGGAAAACAGCGTATCTCCCAATGCCTTTGCTTTGTATGGAAACACTCCAGAAGTATTAGAAGGGAAATGCTTCCTCTTTATGTTAACCATCCTTTCCGAGAAAAGACTGACAAGTGTGTGAAGGAGCTATTAAACTCAAGCTTTTTTTAAAATACAATTTTGGCCTCTAGAGATAATTGCTTCCAATCTGCTACACAGATTGTCAATATAATCACATAACAAATGAAGAAAGTTGCATTAGTATAAGGTTAATAGCAGTTAATAGCAGTTAGACTTATATACCGCTTCATAGGGCTTTCAGCCCTCTCTAAGCGGTTTACAGAGTCAGCATATTGCCCCCAACAACAATCCGGGTCCTCATTTTACCCACCTCTGAAGGATGGAAGGCTGAGTCAACCCTGAGCCGGTGAGATTTGAACAGCCGAACTGCAGAACTGCTGTCAGCTGAAGTAGCCTGCAGTGCTGCATTTAACCACTGCGCCACCTCGGCTCTTGAGTTTATCATAACAGTAGTTTCAAGGCAATGGCTTACTTGCCCAATAAATTACATAGAAATCTACAGTCTTGAATTCATGTTCCAAGATATTCAGATGACACGGTCAGGTAGTACTTAATCAGGAATTATGGCACTGCCAATTAGCAAACCTTTTTGGCACTGAGTGCCAAAATGGGAACATGCGCATGCACAGGAAATAGGAAGAGCAGCCACCCAGTGCGCATGCCACCTGGTCTTCCGGTTTCTGGCATGCATGCATGCACATAGACCAGTTGGGCAGTGCGCATATGCGCGCTGGAAACTGGAAGATGGCTGCCCTTCCAGTGTCCGGTGTTCCCACTTGTGTGAAGACCAGCTGGCCAGCACCCCGGAACCGGAAGAGCAACGGGCAATGGCTCCCATGCCCGGAGAGATGGCTCTGTGTGCCATTTCTGGCACATGTGCCACAGGTTCACCATCACGTTCCTAGAGGATAAATGCTCCTTCTTCAAAATCCACCCTTGGAGGAAAAAAATGATTTTATCATCTGCTAGGAAGCCAAACAAGGAGGGGAAATTGTTTCAATCAGAAGTACAAAGACTCAGTTTACTTAAATAATCTTTAATGGTGGATCATGCTCTTATTTCCAGAAGATTTCTAACAGCACAGACAAGCATAGAGTTTTATCCAAGGTACATAGAATAGCCTAGTGAGAGGATGATACAGGTGATTGCTAAATGAATACCAGCTTCAATTCTGACATCAAAGCAGAAACTAACACGATGTACCAATAGGCAGATTAATGACAAGGAGAAAGGAAGAAAATGAGAGATAAAGCAGGGAGGCAGTTTATGTTTCATTTCAGTTCAACTGATTATACCATTTTCTCCTGGAACCACATGTTGGACCCAACCCTTAGATCAGGGGTGTCCAAACTTGGGAACTTTAAGACTTGCGGACTTCAACTCCCAGAATTCCCCAGCCAGCTGGCTGGGGAATTCTGGGAGTTGAAGTCCACAAGTCTTAAAGCTGCCAAGTTTAAAGATCCCTGCCTTAGATTAACAAGGCGTCCATGCTGGCTGAAACAAATGCAAGGCAGCTCTACTGCAAAACAGCTTGGGAGACAGCAACTTGAGGGGGGGGGGGGAGGAAAAGAAATTACCATGCTGTGCCATGAAGGTGAAACTCCAACTAGACAGGCTTTAGCGAATGGCTTCTTTTTCTTGGATGCACAACCCTCAAAATAATGACACAAACTATAACAAAATGCTTCTTCCACAAATAACATGAAAAAAGCAACCTATTTAGTCACGGTGCACTTCGTGAATATCTTTAAGCAGACATTTGTTATAACCCTCAGATTTTGGCCACAGCCACCTAGAGCAGTTTTCACTTCTAACTGTGCTGGAGCACAAGTTCATGCAGCCATGCTGGTTGAGGATTATGAGACTTTTAGTCCAATGTATCTGGAGAATGACAAGTTGAGGTAGTCAAATTTAGAAGGAGGGCATCACAAGCTTCCGGTTCACTTTAGAAGCATTCCTTGCTATCTACTAATCTCAAGTTTAACACACATATTTCCCTTTGTACTGGATCTGCTTGAAATATAGTAAGATCACATATTATTGGCAGCAACTGGGAGCAAGAACTGGGGAACTGACTGCCTTTTTTATAGACATAACATTCGTCTAAGAACCTGAAGAGAGTGAGCAGAGTCTGAGGTTGGTTTCCTACCTCAGGAGAGAGGCCCATAAACGATTTCAAAATTATGACTGATGGCACAACAACCATTAATAGGATGACAATAGCCTACAAGTATTGAAAGTAGCACATGAGAGTCAAAAGCTGTCAGAAAGAGAAAGAAACAGAGGGAGGGAGGGAGGGAGGGAGGGAGGAGAGAGAGGGGAGAGGTCGTATAACAAGCAGTTTGAATTTGCTGCATTCTAACCAGCCTAAAACAATTTTCATCTCCCAGGAGCTTCTGCATCAGACATTACACCAGACATGGCTGCCAGACATGTTGGGAATGATCCCCCAACATGGGGAACCCTCCCAAAGAAAAAACCCCTAAACTTTAAATCAGCTGAAGGAAGCAGCAGTCCAAAAACCAGGGCAATACTGCCAGAGTGTATGAATTCTTCTCCCACAGATAACGATTCTGTTCTAACACCCCCTCTTCCTCCTGTAACTCCACCATTAACTCGGTAGGGAACAAAATGCTATCATTCCTGAGCTAGTAACAACTTTGGGAAAGTAGATTAGACCCAATAAATGGCTTCATGCAACTCCATATATCTTCCCACACCAACTGCTGATCCAAACAAGCCTTAAAATTACTTAAAAGTTCGCTTTAAAAACAACTGATCTCAGTTGTCCTTCATCGTCTCCATTTTGAACCTGATCTATAATTAATAACAATCATAATAATTTCTCCTAAACTCCTTCCATGCTAGGCAGGTATCCTGGCTCCAAGGCTTTCTTCCAGGAGTTACTTTATTTTTTCAGTGCCAGAATCATCTTCAATCTCCTTGTTGCATTAATAACTGCATCGAACTCCTTTTATAATACTTGGTTACAGAGGGAGACCAAGAGTTTCACAAAAGATACAGTACAATTTTTTTTAAAAAAACAACCATATTTGGCACGCTAACAGCAATATTACCTCTATTACCTCAAGTCCACATTGTCCCTGACAGCGCACAGTCGTTCACCTTTAAAGCATGGAGGGAATCAAAGATTAGCGCTTTCCCTGAGCTGAAAAAGACAAACATTATTGGGCTTCGAAAGGAAATGAGAAGCAAAGAATCTGTCCCTTGCCCCACTTCATGCTACAGAGTGTTTCTGAATCTTGACAACATTTAAGATGTTGTCATTCTAGATGTCATGACTTTATGTCATGCTGATGGGAAATTCTGGGAGTTAAAGTCCAGACATCTTAAAGTTTGCCAAGGTTGAAAAAGACCGTGTTAGAGGTTAACACTGAAAAAATGGAGGCTCTTACCTAGCGGGATTGACAACCACTTTCTGCCCTGATGGCCAAAGGCAGGGCTGGTTGCAGCCTCTCAGAGATGTTCGACCAGCCAATGGGACAACCCCCCTCCCCGAAACAAAAGCAAAGTAGCACAAGGCACCCCCAGAAGACTTTGTCCCTGGCAGATGTTGCTCAGGATACATGTAGACATGCTGGTGTTTCTTTCTGCCACCCAGCAAATGTATTCACATGGCAGGACTTCCAGAATTTATTCTGCACTGAACTGGCCTATGTCCCCTTCTACCTCTTTGGCCTTGGCTCTCAAACGATCTGACCAGCCTTTCCATTCCCACTACAGAGGCTTTCCTTGGTTCCTGGACACAAAACCTTAGAAACACTTCTAACTATTCACCTCCCAGGAGGCCCCATCAGATTACCAAGTGCAAAAGAGATATTGAAGGAAACACGCACACGCGCACACGTACACACACACACACACACACACACACACCAGGAAAGTAGAAAAGTCTCTGGGATGAGGGAGGTGGATGGTCAGGCTCTCTTTGCGCTCACATAACAGATAACCAGCTTGTCAAGCCAGTGTGGAGCTGAAAGGGAGACTGATGACGAATGAGTCTCTTTCAGCAAGTATCCCGGATGGAGCTCATAATTCTTCCTGGATGGTCTCCAGCATCTCTGTCTGCACAGCCTGGGTGATGAGAGTCAGCTCCTGGGAAAGTGTCTCATAGCGATAGGCTACCCGGATGTCTGGCACATTGGTACGACGGATGTCATTGCCTTCTGACCCCTCCTTCAGGTAGTTGGGTCCAAGCCAGTAGCTCTTCACCTGAGGAACAAAGGCAGAAATCAACCCAGGGTTAGGACCAAGAGCAGCCTATGTTTTCCATCTGGACATACAAAGACAAAAACATTAATGAAGGATACGGTATAATTTATAGTCACTCTGGGAGTGAAATGGGAAGTCTAAATTTAATAAATAAATTAACAAATCCTTTAAAAAACAAAACAAGAGCTAGCACCAACTATTCCTCCTTCTTCCTCTCTCTCTCTCTCTCCCTCCCTCCCTCTTTCTTTCTCTCTCTCTCTCTCTCTCACACACACACACATGCAAACTAATACATTCACTCATGGGTTTTAAATTCTTGCCTTATGTTCATTTTAGTGCCTGCTCTGGACTTTTGCCTAGCAAAGAATTGCACAAAGGGCTCAATAGCACCCCGTACCCACCCCCCAGAAAAGCTACCCTCCATTCAGTCCATGAGAACAAGATATCTTAGCAGAGGCACAGTGGTACTACAATGGCAAAGATAAAGTTTTTGGACAGGCATTTCTGCTTTTTGCTCATTTGTAGTAGTTAAAACTATCAGAGAAAAGGGCTTAAATATCCATCTTATTCTTACTGCTGCACAATTAATGTGCCAAGTTTCACTGGGATTTTGATCAAGAGTGCAATGCCTCCTGGAATTTTACAAGATGCATCAAGGTGTAGTAGGTTTATCATGCCATATCAATATAACTAATTCCTTGGCATCCACGGACAACAAGCAGGCTGCCCTAAGCTGAGAACAAACCAATGATTTGGGGAAGTAGAAACACCCTTTTGGAGGGGAGGAGGGAACCTACGTAAAAAATTAAATCAGTTTAATAAGAATTGAGCATAATAAGTGAGAAGATAACAGCAGCTATTATGTACATGGGAGAAGGAAAGGCTGAAGGAAAAAGGGGGATGGCAGATACCGCCCCACTGTACTCTTTAATACAAATTTTGAACTTCAGGAGGGTAGCTACCTCACTGGTGAAAGGATCACATCTGCAGGGGTCTTTATCTACAATTTCCCCAGCATAAAATGGATTCATTTCCAGCCTAATTTCCCAGGACTGCCATGACGCTTTCAGGACAAAGGCTGCTCTTTTGCTGAAGATGGAATCAAGGGAAGGGAGGTATTGGATATGCTTTCTTGAACATTAGTCCTCAAAGGATTGCCTTCCCTTGAGTACAGACTTGGTTGAAGAGGAGGCCGCGTGTAGGTGTTAAGTCTTCTACAGCAAACAGGCTGGTTTAGATGAATAAAGGTAGAGGTAAAGTTTCCTCTTGCACATATGTGCTAGTCGTTCCCGACTCTAGGGGGCGGTGCTCATCTCCATTTCAAAGCCAAAGAGCCAGCGCTGTCCGAAGACGTCTCAGTGATCATGTGGCCAACATGGCTAAATCGTGAAGGCGCATGGAATGCTGTTACCTCCCCACCAACTGTCCCTATTTTTCTACTTACATTTTTACATGTTTTTGAACTGCTAGGTTGGAAGCTGGGACAAGTAATAGGAGCTCACTCCATTGCGCAGCACTAGGGATTCAAACCGCCGAACTGCCCACCTTTCTGATCGACAAGCTCAGCATCTTAGCCACTAAGCCACCATGTAAATTTCTGTAAATCCCCTCCCCTTGAACTTCAGAGCATTTTTGGGGGAGGTGATAGCCTGAAGTCAATCCCTTCCAGAGAAGATTCTACATTACCTTGTGGGAGAAGCCACTCATGAGCACGCTGTTCCGTGCCAGTTCACACATATCGCAGGAACTGAGCTTCCAAACCTGTGTTGCAATGCTGTACTCTTCCATCAAGGGTTCCTGGAAGCAATATTGTCAGTCAGACCCAGATACATGCAAATTGAACATTACCAAGCAGCAAAATAGGATACCAGACTGGCTTCAGTGATGTTAACACATATCAAATTAGTTGTGCACAGTGCAAACTGTATGCAGTAGGCAGTGGTGGGTTTCAAAAATTTTTAGAACCTCTTCTGTGGGTGTAGCGTGCTTTGTGGGAGTGGCTTGCCAGCCATGTGACCGAGTGGGAGTGGCTTGCCAGCCATGTGACTGAATGGGAGTGGCTTGGCAGTCATGTGACTGGGTGTGCATGGCCAACTTGTAAAATGTGGTGAAACTCACTTAACAACGCTCTTGCTTAGCAACCAAAATCTTGGCTCAGAAACTCTGCATTTGAAGCACGCAAGTCTTAAAGCTGTCAAGTTACAAGACCCTTGGATCCCTAACCCTAAAAGAAAAAACCCCAGGGGTGTTCAAACTTGACAGCTTTAAGACTTGTGGACTTCAACTCCCAGAATTCCTCCTCTCGCTCTTCATCTTGATGATGTGCGGATGGGTGGAGGGAGGGAGCTGGAACCGGTTCTAAATGGCACTGTAGATTTGTGGAACCTCTTCTATAGAAGAGGTTAGAACTGCCAGGAACCCACCCCTGGCAGTAGGCAGCAACTGAAAAGTCCAGAGCTATAAGCTAGATTGGAAAGTGGAGAATTATCACAGAAGAAGGCAACCACTTCCATATCAGGACAAAACTCCAACATCAGTAAGGAATGAAGCCAGTTTACTTTCTAATAAAAACTGAGCAGAAAACATTTCCATTATTTTATCTCCGATAGAGAAATTGGAGAACAGTGTGCGCCTGGGATAAGTGAAAGATATGCAGGTAGTCCTTGACTTACGATGACAATTGAGGCCAACCTTTCTGTTGTTAAGTGAGATATTTGTTAAGCGGGTTTTGCACCATTTTACAACCTTTCTTGCCATAGCCGTTAAGTGAATCACTGCAGCTGATAAGATGGTAACCCAATTGCTAAGTCAATCTGGCTTCCCAACAGACTTTGCCGTAAAAGAGGGGATCACATGACCTTGGGACACAGCTGCGGTCATAAGTATGAACCAGTTGCCAAGCATCTGAATTTTGATCACATGATCAAAATTTGTTGATATAAAATTCATAAGAGTGAAAATTGGTCATAAATCACTCTTTCAATGCTGTTGTAACTTTGAACAGTCACTAAATGAACTGTTATAAGTCCAGGACTACTTGTGAACAGCTAAAACAACATCTTAGGTTTCCAAAAACAGTTGGTTGGTTGGGGGGGGGGGGGGGTCCCAAGTTGCCACAAATATTTCTACGGACTGAACCAAAGGCAGCATGTTCTATTTACTTTGGTTCTTGTGACCAAAGTTTGATTTTTGAGCCAGTAGGTGGAGACATTTCAATTACACTAGACAAGGAAGATTTTGCTTCCTAACACTTTCCCCTGTGTCTCTCATAAATGTTTGGATGCTAATCACAAAAATAACCTGGAATTTAACCATCATTTTCTAGATATTTTCTGTTTTTGCACAATGGCAATATGCACCCTTCAGTTCTGACTGGCTATGACGCACACATGAAATAATCACGAGAAAACATGGAACTGTTGTTGAAGCACATGTACTAAACCAAGCACAACAGGAACATCTGCAGAGATCTAAACGTGGCAGCTTTGCTGCTTGGAATGAAGCATTAGGCAGTTAACACATGATACAGGCAGAGGAAACACTTATACTGCTATCTTTTCTTTCTAGTATTTGGCCACACTGCATCAGCTAAAAAGAAGGGCATCTTTCCTCCCTTGTGCCATCTTTCATTCCTTGGGGGGGGGGGGGGGGTCATACATGCTACGTGACACTCACCTTAGTGAAATGGAACTGCAGGGGATCGTCTGTGGACAGGGAGACCACGAGCCCCCGTGACAGGTACTCAGGTAGCGGATTACGATGGTAGCTTAAGAACAGACTGTTATTGCTAAGTGGAGACATAGCAATGCCAATCTGAGCCAGGTAGTAGAGATACTGCAGCACCGGTGCCTAGAGAGAAACTCAATGTTAAGGCATGAGGTATCTCAAGCAAACACTGAGCCCTTCTTAATGCTTGCTTCTGGATAAATATACATGGGTTCCCCCTTCCAGTTGGAAAAGTCGTGCATAGAAACTCTTTCAAGAGACTGCAAGTATCACCAGCATGCAAGCCCAATAATGATCTATTCACATTTCCTTTATAGGAGCACAGTGGCTCATGTGATTAGGGCACTGGGTTGACAAGCAGCAAGCCCACCTTTGAAACCCAAATGCTGCTGTGGGACCGGATGAGTTCACGTCACTTGCTCCAGCTCCTCTTGACCTAGCACAGTGATGGCCAACCTTTTTGGCACCGAGTGCCCAAACCAGAACATGTGTGCATGTGCTTGAGCATGGGAAACTCAAAGACCAGCTGGCCGGTGCATACATACCTGGGTTTTGGGCATTTGGGAGCCTTTTTCAGGCTGTTTTGGGGCCATTTACAGGCTGTTTTTCAAGCTGTTTTGAGGTTATTTTGGGGCTGTTTGGGGAGTTTTTTGGCCTGAAAATGGCCTCTTTTTTAAACCAGAAGAGCAGCTGGCTAGAGCACATGTGCCCACACAGAGGGCTCTATGTGCCGCCTCTGGCACACATGCCAAAGATTCGCCATCACGGACCTAGCATTTCGAAAGCATGCATTTGCAAGTAGCTAGACAGGTGCTACTTCAGTGAGCACGTTAATGGGGAAAGGACTCCCCAACTGGGCATCCCCCCCAGAGAATGGTGATGTCACCAGCTAATAAGCACCTTGGTGCTTCCGACACAAGTGCGATGTGATTTTTTTTTTGCCTTCTGCCTAGGTTCCTACTGCATGTTTACAGTAGCCTTGATCACAACACCCAAAGGTATGTGGTGGTTTAAGCAGCAGCTTTGCTTCTAAGCAATGTTTCTGCTTCATCACACATATGGGCATGTCCCGAAGTCCATGTTTCTAGACGTGGCATCAACTCATTTCCGTTCCCTTACCTTGCGAAGGAGGAGGCCGTGAGATATGTTTTCGGACAGCATGAAAGCCGACACAAGATGATGGATGGGTCCTGCCTCCCCACAGTGGGGTCGCAGCACGAAGGTGTGGAAGCACCTCTTCCTAGGGAAAAAAAGGAAAGCAAAATATACAGCTTACAAATGAATGGCATTTCGGAAAAGGAGAAGTCAAAATGCTGGTAAAATGGGAAAGAGGAACAGGAATTAATGCCCAGCTTACAGCACCAAAGATATAAAGCTGAAACATAGGCCACAAGCTCTGGGTATTTGAGTGTCTTAATATGTTGCTATTATTATCAGAAAGGTGATAAAAAGGGTATTCAAGGCCTTAAAAACCATTCTGGAGGAGACACAAATTCAGAAAAGGTGGGTGAGGAGGCAGATAAGAAGCAGACCACCTACCTACGCAGATGATTCAACACCACCATATTAGCATAGGTGTAATAAAGGTAATAGGAATATGGCGGGTTATCTTCTTCCATCCAACTGCCAGGTAAGGGACTGTCCAAGTTGAAGATATGGTGTTCTGGCTTGGACTCATCGTCTACGCTATCAAAACCATCCACCTATCCATTCATAAACCAGAGGAAAGAAAGGGAGGGGATGAAAATATGCTTGCATCGTCATTCATTTTATGCAAATCAGACAGAATGATCGTGACAGTTATTTAAGACTGATAATATATCAATGTATATCATTCTACTATATGCTAAGTAAATGGTCTTCAGGATCAAGCATATACAAGAATCACATATATAACATTTGTCCTTCATTCTTCCCCAAATGCAGAGATACTATTAGCCATCCCTTTAACAAGTACTAGAAATTAGGTGTTTTTTTTTTTTTTTTGCAACATCCCTACTTACATGCTCCAAGAAGAGATGCAATTCTGGGTGGCTGGCAGGGTTGATGGTGGCTTCAAAGAGAGGTAAGAAAATGTTCTCTAACATCTCCTGAAAGTTGGCCAACTGTTTCTTTGTTTTGTATACGTCACTGTTAAAAATCGAGAAACAAAAAGTGACAGTGCTCCATCACACATAAATCTCTTCATTCCTGACAATTGACAATCGTGTTCCTCAAAGTTTGTTCTGAGCTGACTGAGGCTGTAATTAACAGTCGTGTACTGTGACACTCCACATACTCATATCCTTGGAAGAAGAGAGGAGTGGGTAGCATACTTCCTAGAAGACTAAACTAGTTCATTTTCCCCCTTCTGTTGTCAATGTATTAGGTGGTACCCAATTCCCTGTTCTCTGGCCAGAAAAATCTCAAGCTGCCCAGAGTCACCTTGTAGGGAGATGGGTGGCATAAAAATTTAATAAATAAATAATTTTAATGAATAAATAAATATGTTTCCCAGTCAAATTGATTTTCCTCTAGTACCAAAAAACTGCAAACACTTCTTCCCACTTCTCTGCCTTCCCTGGCATTAAAGTTACCACAGAAATTATGAACGAATACTTAAGTGTGCCTTGATCGCACTTAAAATCGGCTGCTTTGTGGTAAGGCTTGCACAGCTTCGGGGAATGAGAGCCAGATCACTTAAGAAACCCAACTGCTTCAACAAATCCAATTCCCAATAGTCTTCACTGCAGATTTCATACAGCAGAGATGGTTGGAAGAAATAACAATCTTACACTCAAAGGTGCTTTCCCCCCCCCCCCAAAGGTGTGCAAAAGTTTTGCTTCTTGCTTCTTCAGTCCTGAAATGAAGAAGCTTCTTGCATAAGAAGCAAAATGTTTTCAAGGAAAAAACCAAGAAAGTCCAATTGCCTTTTGGAAAAAGCACTTTTGGAACTGGATGATTGAGAATCTCCATAGATATCTTACACAGTGATTTAGTTAAGAGAGGGTGTATTTTGGAGGAAATGTGCAAGTTTTTATGACCATTTACAAATACTTTCAAAGTAGCTTTTTGCTACTTTGCTAGAGTTAACTGCAGTAACAGTTATCAGTTCCTTGCGATACTTGCAAGGCTGTGAGCTCCCAGCCGAAAGGCTGAAAATTAAGTTCTGGAAAGCAGTCTTTGTGGCACAAAACACAATGAGCAAAATCTTCAGAAATACAAACTGTTGTCTCCTATGACAACCACTCCCCTTTCCTTCTATTTATCCCCCAGCCAGGGAGCCGTCCATGTGTGCTTTGCTTCCCGAGTCGACTCCTTGTCCTCCGTTGTTCCCCTCTCCTAACTGCTCTGTGCATATGTGCATCTGGAACAGGCCTCAGCTGTTCTTCCTCCTCACTCATTTCAGCCTCCAAAGGCAGCTGCCTCTCTGGTGGCTGGGAAATGTCGGACGGCCCTGGCTCTATCTCTGCGTCCGACGCAGAGCATCCATCAGAGCCTTTCCCAGACTTCAGCACTGGCCCAAGTTCCTCTCCAACCTCCTCATTGCCCGACTCTGCCACCAGCTCTGCTGGCAGCCTGCAGACCACAACAGGGTGTTTTTTTTTCTGAATGGTAGACAGAAATCTGTTGCAACCCTTTCCAGTTCAGATGTTTCATTACTCAACTAGATCCTGTAACATCATCAGTGCAAGTCTTACCACTTTAGCTCATAAGCTGATATTTTACTACACTGAGCAGCTAAAGGGTGGTTTCCCACTAACTGGGATTACAACTGCTGTGGAAATCAAAGCTAAGATCCAACCACAGAAAACTAAAGGGCCCTCTGTATTTCTTATGAAGATGGTTGCTCTCTGTGACTGTCAAAAAATACAGTGGAAAGCTACTTGTAGCATAAAGAGCCTTCTATAAGGCAGCAGAACAATTTCCCCCCAAGGACACCCAGATATATAATAAGGCACAGCGATCTCATTGATCCTAAACATGGACGCTCAGAAATTGGTTCTAGGATTGCAGCCTCTAAGGTTTAACTTTAATCATACCTGTCCAAACAACATGGTTTTCGATAAGTCTTCTAAAAAAAAAAGACAGGGGAAGAGTAACATTTATCTTCCTTAGGGTGTTATCTTGGTGCCAGAATTATTAAAAAAAAGCAAGTCCTGTACCCACTTTTTATTAGACAGAAGTGACTGTTGAGTATTAACAATACAACAGCTAATATATGCAAAGTCTTTTGTGATTCTGCAAGTTTCTGCACGCTTTTGAAACTGCAAACCAAGAGAGAGGTACTCACAATAGCCGAGGCACTTGCACCAGCCAGCGTACATTGTTGGAATGCACTCGGTGGGTAACAGCCCACTTGGCCAGCTTATCCCACTCATCCCGTGCTCGGCCGTAGATTGACAGCCGCAGTTCTGCATTCTGATATTTGCTCTCTTCTAGATCAAACATGACTTCCTACCAGGAGAGAATGAGCTTGTTAGCACTTTAAGAATAGGAGCTCTTCCTTAAAAAAAGCCAATACGAATGCATGTTCTTATATCCTGCCTTTTGTCTGAAAGTTCTGGGTGACTCAGATGGGGATCTCCCCTCATTTTCTTCCCAAACAACAATCCTATGAACCAGGTTGAGTGACAAAGAGGCCGGTTGAAATTCTTTCAACAAATCATGCAGTTAAATAGAGAAACTGCCTGCAGATTGCCTGATCCACTTCTGGTTTGCATATTGGGCCATTTTTCACCCTCCCCAGGCTCCTAGAAAGTTTCTGGAGCTTGGGGAGGGTGAAAAATCGATGTATCAGGCCCACCAGAAGTTGGAAAATGGGCTGTTTCCAGCCTCCTGAGGGCCTCCGGGGGGCAGTGGAGACCATTTTTGGCCTCCCCATGCTCCAAGAAAGTCATGCACGCATGTGCGGGGCAGCAGGGAGGTCATGCACGCATGCGCAGGGGTCACTGTGCGGGGGTGGGCACTTATGGCACCCGAGGCAAAAAAAGTTCGCCATCACTGGGCTAGGCATACCGTGGTTTCCAACTACAATGACTAGGTAAGTATTGTAGCATGGTGTGACATGAATAGATTGGCTTCAACTTCTGATAATTGAGGGACAAACATATAAACACTTAAGATCGGGCTTCTAATGTTCAGAAGTGAGTTATGGCCATTACTGGGCCTGCAGTAATCAAGAAATAACCTTTATACACCCACCACCCCTTTCTGCTCCTCCATGTGACTTTATTACTTATTACTTCTCCAAAACCAACCTGCTTGGTTTTCCCAAGCTTCAAAGCCCCAAAAGATAGCTATATTTAAATCTGCATAACTTGTTCAGCTCCCCTGGCTTTAAGAAAGTATCCACAAATGAGGCCAACTCGCAAGGTAGTCCAGATGCAAAGCACAAGCAGATGGACTGATCCTACTTTATTATAAGGTTACATTAACAGGATCTTGCCAGTCTGAAAATCCATTTCTCCCCACTCCCCCCCAACTGCCTTTGCAGCCTAAAAAACTAGGGAGGGTCCCTTCTGAGACATCTGCCATGCCCACATTCCTTCTGCAGGCTGTCTCTTGTCCAACTCTTCTCCTGGCTGGGGCAATTCCCTATCTCTCCGGGACATTCCCACACACCATTACAGCAGCCCTCACCTTGATGATATGAGCAAAGTATTTTCCAGAGACTTGGTTGTCTGTTTTAATGAAAATCTCCCGCAGAATAGACTCTCCTATGGGGTTGTATTTGGCATTGAACTTGTCAAATCGATGAAAGGTGTTACGATCCTATTAATAGAGAGAATGCCAAGATAAATCATGATAAGCCAGAATGCAACAGCAGTGCCTTCTCTTCCTCACTTAGCACTACTGATAAAGATATATTTCTTATTCATAATTCCCTCCATCATCTCCCTTTGATTGGAGAGCATTGCCTCCCTAGATCAGAAGCTGCTATGTATTTCTTCAATGATCACTTTCTTCTCTTTTATAAATACTGCCAAATCACACACAAACACACACACACACAAACACACACATATTTGTATGTGTATGTTCCAGCATAACTCTGGAACGCCTCGAGCAATTTCAATCAAAACTTGGTACATAGATGACTTAGTCTCTGGAAACAAATATTGTGGTGGTAAGACACCCCTAAAACCCCTTGGGATGTGTGTTCTGTTAAGATACAGCATGTTGTGCCTTAAAATAGCTTCTACTGTACTGCTGTAAAATGGATTCTGCTGTACAGTGCAGAAGAGTTGCCATGGTAACGGCTTCACAGTACTCCACAAGGAGGCTACCTCTGGTAAGGGGGAAAATCCAACATTAGAAATTATGTTAGGTCCAGACATTTCCGCCCTATAAATAAATCCCTGGGCACCACCAGGTTTTCAGCTAGTTGCTTATAATTGAGGCAACTTTAGAGCTGTGTTCCAATAGACCTGAAAAACTCAGAAACTACCATTCTGCATGTGAGACCATTCTACTGTAAAGAATAGGAAAGTTTTGTCCAGCCTAGTTTCCAAAATTAAGATTGCTATTAGTCCAGTAGGAAAATCAGTTTCTACCCTCTTTGATGAATGCATCTGACATACCGCATGGACATCGAGGGTGTCCACACTCAGATCGTATGCTGTGAGATTCATGGTCTCAAAGACCTCTTTAAGGGTTTGCTCCTTGCCCTTTTCCACATGAACGATTTCCTCCAGGTGTTTCTTCATAGCCCGTTTAATGAAGCGCAGCAGATGCTTCTGATTCATGCAGGATGAGGCATGGATGTGTGTGTCCACCTGATCAAAGGATTAGTGGATAAGTATACAAGCTAGGAAGATGGAAGCTTATCTTAGACATCAGTTCATTCGCTGACTTCAAGAAAAACTGTTATTCTCAAACTCAATTCTATTTTTCAATCCCTTAAATGGAAGTAATACTGACTTTCTTCTAAGATTGTTATATTCATTAACATACCATATTTTTCGGACTATAAGATGCACTGGTGTATAAGACACATCAATATTTCAAAGAGGTAAGTAAGAAAAAAAAGTTTTTGTCCTCCCCGGCCCCCAGGAGCAATCTTCAGGCTTCAGCAGGACTGGGGGAAGGCAAAAACACCAATTTTTGCGAAGATTTGTGGAAAACAGGCCTTTCTCCAACCCTACTAAAGCCTGCAGAGTGCTTCTGGAGGTTGGGGGAAGCAAAAACGCCTCAGTTTTTTGCAAAAAATGGGCTGTTTTTTGCAAAAATGGGATTTGGGGGCAGGACTTCGGGAGGCCAAAAATGGCTGTATTTGATGTATAAGACGTACCAACATTTCCATGCTCTTTTGGGGGGCGGGGGAGGTGTGTCTTATACTCTGAAAAATACGGTAATTATTTGAATTTTGTTTTTTAAAAAGACAATCTGTATATACCAATCCAAAATAGGCCAGAGGTGCAAATGTGAGTACAAAACTCAGCATTTCTGTTGAAAGTATTGTCAGGCCTGCAGAGGTTCCTTTAAGAATCTTTGGCCGGCCACACACTCATTAAGGGGGGGGGGGGAATAGCAAGAGGTAGAATGTGTTGCTTTCAAAATAAAAAATTCCTTTCTAGAAGCTCAAGGTCATCTTTTGTCTCCGCAGCTTTGCACCTGACCAGAAGCAGTTGGCCGTGGGTGCTAGTGAGGAAGAAGAAGATTGGACCATGTGATGGATTGTGGGGGTGGAAGCAAGATCATGAACTTTTAACTGGGTGGAATTCTGATGTCATTTCCAGAATTGGGATTAACACAGATGTACTACGATGTCTGCTTCATTAAATTGGAACTTTAAGGATCGTTTTGCCTTCGACTCTGATTTAATTCTACATGATACTTGGAACGATGACATGTATTTTGCTACCAACTTAAAAGCTGTAGGATTTGCTAGTGTTCTCTTACCAGTACAAAGAGGTCAAGGGCTGTACTGGTGAAGCTTTCTACAATAACTGTTGAACTTTCTAGGCTCAACAATCTGTGGCACTGACATAGCCTGTAGCCCTAACTACCAGCACATATTCTCAAATTATACAGCGCTTCTACCTTCCGAATGTTGTAGAAGTCACGATGTGGCACCTTTTTCTGAGCTGCCAGCTCTTTCATCTCATTGAGCAGAACATGCATCTGGAACTTTGAACTTAAGTATTGAAGTCTTCGATAGCAGAAGGATTTTCTGTCCAAAGGTGAAAAGAAAACAATTTCAGATTTGCACATCCTGATTATTTTCCATTTGAGATCAAATTTCATTATTATCCCAGAAGCTGTCTCAGCACAATTAATTGATAAAGGAACAATTTGCCTTTCCAGTTTTACATGGGTGGGGAAGTCATTTTACATGGGTGGGGAAGATCCCATACAATTAAGCCTATGCCTAGTCAGCCTAATGGTGAGTCTACAGTAGCTACTGTAGCTATTTTAAGTAGCTACTGCCTACTTATGTCTATGGAGAGTCACAGTAATCCAAGCCATGTTATCCCAAAGGCACCTTTTCAAGAGGCAGAGCTGAAGAAGCTTCTTGGATGAGAAGTGAAGCATCTTCAAAGAAAATCCAGAAAATCCAGTTGTTTCTTGAAAAAACTCCTTTGGGACTACTGTCTACTTACAAAAATGCGAAGAAATTGAAAAGCAAAGCATCTGTTTTTGGTTCCTGGTATTAAAGTTATATTGAAGCATTTTCTGGAGCAGGAGTCACCAACCTTTCAGACCTCAGGAACCACTAAATTCATAATTTTAAGTCCCACGGACCAGTAATATGATCTTCCTAATCACCGGCTGAGTGGGCGTGGCTAGGTAGTCATGTGACTGAGTTGGCATAGCCAACTCAATGTCACTCACATTGAGGGGCGCCTCGCCAGCCTCTACTTGCCCCTCCCCTCCCAGCCACTCCTCGTCTCCCTGCCAAGGGTCCTTAAGGCCCCAACAGGAAGCAGTGGTGGGAGTTAAGCAGCCACCAAAAGAAAGAGTTGGCAAAGGTTCAGTAGAAGCACCTCACTGAGGACTACGAGCATAGGATTTCCAAGCAGAGGGAAGACCTGCAGGAGTGCAAGTCCAGGTACTGGCGGGCTGAGATGGCCAGCCAGTTCCAGGCCATGATACAGTCCCGCTGGAACAAGGTCTTCCAGCTCTTCACCACCAGCGGCACTTTCCTCCAGCCTTCGCCCAAAACCCCACACCAGGAGGCTGAAGCAGACCCCAAGTCAGAATTTCTGCCCCCCTCCAATCCACACAAAAAGACCCCAAGGGGGCAGACTCTGCAGCAACACAAATGTTCATTGCACATGAGGATCCCTGATTTAGTGCAATATAAAAAATGAAAATAATTTTTCTGCGGACCACCAAAATTTTCTCATGGACCACCAGTTGATGACCACTGCTCTAGAGGACACTGTTTCTTTCAAGAAAGTCCAATAAATTTTCTTTCAACCTGAAGAATACACCTTGATTATTCCAGAAAAAATCATAAGAACTATGTTAAATCGACAAAAAAGAAGATAAATGTGTCTCCCGTGTAATCTTATGACAGGGTGTTTTACATAATAGATTCTAAGATCATAATGTACATAAGCCACACTTGTAGAATATTTGGAAAGGAGTTTGACACCTTGATTTTGCATGCACAGATCAAAAAGGTAGAAAACTTACATGGGGCCATTAATGATCAGAGCCATCAGAACGTTCATGTCAGCCACAAACTCCTGCAGGTCAGGATAAGGCAAGTCCAGTTCAGTGGTCCTTTTCAAAATGCAATAGAGAACAGACCCCAAAGATATGAGCAAATAGCAGTAGCCATAGCAATAGACTTACATACCACTTCACAGTGCTTTACAGCCGTCTCTAAGTGGTTTGCAGAGTCAGCCTATGGCCCCCAACAATCTGGGTCCTCATTTTACCCACCTCAGAAGGATGGAAGGATGAGTCAACCTTGAGCCTGGTGAGATTTGAACTGTCAAATTGCAGGCAGCCGAAGTAGCCTTGTGGTTCTGCACTCTAACCACTGTGCCACCGCGGCTCAGTTGCATCATTAAAAGAAAGCAAGGAAAGAACAGCCACCACCACTGCCTGGGTGTGCATAGAGGATAGTTTTCTGAGTAACCCAATAGATATAAACCTGTCAAACCAAGAACAGCCTTACCAATAATCCAGGGAAAAAAGCCCTATATCATTGTCACTAATACTTCGAAAAATTGTAAGAAGTATTTTACTAGGAAAAAATAAAGAGAAACAAGATGTTCTGAATGATTTGTCAGCCTTGAAGTAGACTAAATCATAGTTTTGAATTGGCAAAATCCTGGGTTTTACAATTGCTCCAGGATTAGTAAAGAATAACAACTGATTTTCTATATTAGGCAGAAAGGAAATGAGCAATGCAAAATATATGTAACTGCTGTAACAGATGGTTTAGAATAGCGATCCCCAATTTTTCCACCTTTGTAGATCGGTGGCGGCGGCAGTAGCAGCGAGGGGAAAGAGTGGATGGTTCCAGGTCATGCAAGCAGGGGGGTGGGCATGTGGGCAGCTCCACTTGCATGAACAGCGTGGGAACACACTGGCCCATATAGCTCCATTTGGAACTGTGTGCATGAGCTCCTGTTGTTTGTGCGGTCCAATTCTGAACGATACTAGGCTGCAGCCCAGGGGTTGGAGACCCCTGGTACAGTGTCATCAATATCTTCCTGACATTGGCCTCAAAGTTTCTTTTACATCAGATCAAGGAGTTGCACTACGACTGGAGTCCAATATCTGGAGCCCTTAACCTGGTTATGAGCTAAAGCCGGGGGGGGGGGAGGTCCCAACTCGCGGTCCATGGGCCGGATGAGTCACAGGCTGGCTTTGCCCACCCTTGGTTTAGCGAAGGGGGGAAAGTTGTGATACATCACATGATGACGTGTCATCGCGAGTTAGATGCCCTTGAGCTAAAGGGCAATATGAATATCAGATGGCTGATGAGAAGATGAAGATGCTGAGCAGCAGTATCCTGCTTTTCCTTCCTTGCTGTTTCATTCTCAGTCCAGAAGTGTGTGTTACTAGCTGCAATTGATACAAAAACTAGTAACAGCCTGTCAAAGTTTCTCAAGTTTGACAGGTTTAAGATGTGTGGACTTCAACAATGCTCACTGGGGAATTCTGGGAATTGAAGTCCACACATCTAAAGCTTCTAGACTGGACTGTAGTAGCCTATTTTAGAATCAATGTGACTTCAAACCTTCAGTGATGCTGAAGTCCAAGTTCACTATTTAGTTAGCACAAGCTACAGATATGTTACATTTCTTTGTGTTTTACCTATCTTGGCTAGTAATTGTTTTCAGAGAGCGGTGAAGGCCTAAATAGCCAGACTACTATGTAGCTGAAGGTGTTTCTGTTTTCAGTTCCTGTGTTTTTAGGCTACGCTGATGGGAACTGAAGAGAAACGCTTGGTAATCATAGCAAACTTGTGAGAGTTTGCTAGCAATCTTTCCAATTGCACCATTGTGTTTCTTCCATCACTTGCAATGTACTTTTAAAAGGCTTTTTGTTTAACATGGGATGTTATAAATCTGTCATTTGCTTTGTTACTAAAGGGTGAGGGTTTACATATTCTTTTCAAATAATCTTTTTGCTTTGAAAGTGAAAAGAAAAATAAAAGTACAGTGCATTTTTTTTGCTTTAACTTATTCTGTTCTATTACTTTTTAGGGCAAGTGATGAGCCTTCCTAACTGAAATTTGTCTCTCAGTATGACTGATTGGCAATCACAGCCCCCTCAATATTTAATAAATATGACTTTCCCGAGGGCAGAAGGATAGAGAGAGAAGCATGCTTTTTTGTTATTGTGGCAATTTCATTTCATTTTCATTCATTTTCATTTTATTGAGTTTATTGAGTTTGTATGCCGCCCTATTCCCGAGAGACTCAATACTAATCACTGTACATTATGCGCACATCAATAATGATTAGCAAAAAAGTAGCAGATCCTTTTGTGTATACCACAAAATGTTGCTCAAGAATGAACCTTCCTAAAATAAATTCTGTTTGGGATAATTATAGATCATTTTTTTTTTACTTTCAAATCTGTTTCCTTTGCAATTTGTTAGATGCAGAGAAAAATGAGAGGATCAGGAATCTTGCTCAGCTAGACATGAATCATGGATAACATCACTGCCCCAGAAGTTATTTCTCTCCCAGATTTTCCCTAATAACCAGGTCATTCTCATGCCTTCAGCCACCTTCTTACTTGTCAGTGATGTCCTGCTTGGTGTACACATGAACTACTCCATTGACCATCCTGAGGCCAAAGCCAAGATCTCCAGGCATTGATTCAGGATCACATTTCTCATAAGGATGCTGGTTTCCAAATGGAGGGTGCACTGGGGCATCTGTAACAGAAGAAAATGCTTACGACAAACCATCCATCTGCCCAGTGACCTTGGCTGTTGTACCTAAAAGAGTTTAATGGAATGCTAAAAGAGAAACCAAATGCTAATTTAACCTCTGGCCCATACCATAATCCACCCACCCACCCCCAATTTCAGGGGTTGTTTGTTTCCATCCTTTTCCTCTAAGCGTTCATGGGCACAAACCAAGCAAATCAGTTATGCAAAGGCTGAACAGGTACAGCTAATCCTGTGATGGCAATTAGGATTGGGATTTCATTGCTAAGTGATGTGGTTACAAAGTGTGACCGCATCACTTAGAGATAACAATCTCTGCAGTCCCAGCCATTGTTGTTAATCAAATTCCATGGCTGTTAAGCAAGGCAAAGTCCTGCCAGAACCAAAACCAAAGTCAGTGGGGAAACCAGCAGGAAGTCTCAGGCTGTCAGGGAGGTAAGTGGCTGTAGCCAGGTGGGGAAGGGACCAAGAAAGTATCCAGGGTGCAGGAGAGGCTGGGGACTGTGCGAGGAAAAATCTGGAAAAGTGTACAAAGGGTGAAACAAAGGTCAGTATGGGTTTATAAGGGGAGTGCATGAGAGGCATGGGTCAGGGAGAGTGAACAAGGGTGCATGAGGGGTGAGGGCTGGGGAGGGAGTATGAGAGTGTATGCAAGATAGGTTGGTGAGGTTGTGAGAATGCAAAGAGATGCACAGAAAAACCCAGCAATAGCGATAGCTGTTAGACTTATATGCCATTTTACAATGCTTTACAGCCCACTCTAAGCGGTTTACAGAGTCAGCCTATTACCCCCAACAATCTGGGTCCTTATTTTACCCACCTCAGAAAGACGGAAGACTGAGAACCTTGAGCCTGGTGAGATTCGATCTGTCAAACTGCTGGCAGCCGTAATTAGCAGAAGTAGTCTGCAGTACTGCACTCTAACCACTGCACCACCTTGGCAGTAAGGGTCAGGGAGGGTGTTAAAGAGATGTGCGAGAGGTATGCCACGGGACGGGGCAGGTGCAAGGGAAGCAGGGCAAGGGGCAGAGAGGGTGCAACTGGCACAAGTGAAGAGAGGGCGAGGGAGGTTGCATGGGTGAGGGAGAATTATCCCAGTGATTTGTGATCTTTCCTGCCGGCTTCCCCACTGACTTTCTGGGCAAAGTGGATAAGAAAGGTTGCAAATAGTGAGCACGTAATGGTATTGCAACCAATCATTAAGTGCAAACCAGTCATAAATGCCAAGCACCCCTATCACGATTGTGGGATTAGGTAGTGCTGGGATATCCAGAACTTCAAGGACAGTCCAGAACAGTCGTAACCCTACCACTGCTGTCATTTTGAGCGGTTGCTGAATGAATAGTCATAGCTGAGGACTACCAGTAACCGGTTAAGTTTATATTGCATATAGAATGTGATGGTTCCACTGCAAAAAAATTACATCCAGTCTTCCCCAAATTTGATAGGGAATCTCCGAATACTGTATATTGGACATCTCCACCCATCATTCACTTGTCAGCTTTCCATATTTGAGGATAAGGAGATGGGTAATCCAAAGTGTCCAGAGAGCAGAATGTTGAGGAAGCCTAATTATGTTACTTCTTCCCATTTACCTCATAATCTGTTTAGATTGCATGTTTCTATGGAAACACAGAGAACGTGCGGCTTTGGATGCAGTTGAAAATTTAGCCTACATGTAGAATTCCTTTGTTATTCCTGAGAAATATGACTTTTTCGTTTTCTCTTTTAATTTTTAGAAGTAAATTTCTAGTTGGCTTTAGTCATAGCTTAAGATGCACTGGAAACTCCTGGGAGAGCTAACAAAGATCCTGTCTCTTTCACTTCCTAGCCTTTTCCTTTATTAACAAAATCCAAATAGAAAATAAGAACACAGTATATACCAGTGTTAGCGAACTTTTTCAACACTGAGTGCCGAAACGGGAGTTCACGTGTGCAGGGGGGGGCACTAAAAACCGGAAGAGCAGCTGCCCGGTGCACATGCACGGGAGTGCCAGGAACTGGAAGAGCATCTGGTCTTTCAGTTTCTGGCACGCATGCACGCATCAAGACCAGCTGGCCTGCACAACAGATAGCTGCAGTTCGATTTCCAGCTCTTCTGTGCATGCGAAGTCCAGCTGGCTGGTGCATATGTGCATGCCGGAACCCGAAAATGGGCAACGACTGGTGTGCCCAGAGAGATGGCTCTGCGTGCCACTTCCAGCACATGTGCCATAGGTTCGCAATCAATGGAATATACCAAATAAGCAAATGGAAGATTCAACTTTTTTCGGCATAGAACTGGAATTTCCTTCATGGTTTTTTGAATCTCTCTTTTGGACCCCACATTAAAAAAAAATCTGTAGTTTACAGAAACTTTGCAGAATACATAAGCATGGAGATAACTGTGGAGTTCCTGCAGCTATCCAATTTAGTCTACCCTAGTAGCAGATAATGCAGGATTTGTTATTGCAACTGTCACTGATTGTGAAAGAAGTTGTTATGCCTCCAAGGTCTTTTCCTTCAAAACTATTTGCCAGGCTTCAAATAGTTTAAACAATCAGTCTTAAAATCTCTTTTTCTAACTATCTTCTTACCCATCTGTGTCACTAGAATTAGGGAACTGCTTTTTTTTCAATCCATGCCCAGTTCTGATCCTTACCTGCAGCCACAGGAGTCTCAGCGATCTCCTCATACATCCTGAGAACTAAGGGTTTTTCAGAAAGGTCCTGCAGGAATCGTGCTGTGGTTTTACAGAAACTTTGCAGAGAAAGCCCCATATACTTCTCCCGAATGAATAATGCCTTGACCACGCTTTTAGCAGCATCCAACAGGTCTGTGAAGGGCACCTGCATAGGGCAAAAGAAAAGCAGTTTATTCAACTGAGGGGGCTGTCAGAGCCTCATTGTGGAAAGTTTCACACACTATAAAACAGAAGTCATCAGAGAAAGCACTTTGTATACTTGAAGATAGAAACCAAAGGTTTTGCATTCTACCAGAGTGATTGTCAAAAAAACAACCACCCCACTGTTAAGGAACATTGCCAAAATGCTTTCTAATATTTCTGTGATCTGTTTTTTTTTTTCTTTACAGGAAGCCGCATTTGGAGATCACAGGATGCTTAATCCATGTTTTATCTCATATGCATGCTAGTTCAGTCAACTGAAGCTATTACAACATAATAGTTCTACAGATGAAGTTATGATGCAGCCAACCTTACATCTGGTGGGACTGCAAAAAGCGAAGTCAAGTTGGTTGTTCAGCAAAACCCTCATTCTTACATACATATTTCCTCAAGGATTTATGGCAGGTTGACTTGAGTCAACCAATAAGGGAAGGTTTAGGAAGCTTTCTGTTCATCATTTTATTGTTTAGTATGCTTTAATCCCACTAGCACTGCTGATGTTACCTAGTTTTGGTAATGAAATGTCTGCAAGAAAATAAGCAAGCTGAGAGAGAGCACCAAGGACCCTTCATGGTTTAATTTTATATTAAGGAACTAGCCGATAACTCGGCGTTGCCCAGGCATTTATTTATAGGGGGGAAATGTCCGGACCAAACATAATTTCTAATGTTGGATTTTCCCCCTCCACCAGAGGGAGTCCCCTTGTGGAGTACTGTGAAGCCATTACCATGGCAATTCACTGCACTGCACAATAGAAGCCATTTTAAGGCACAACAGGCTGTATCTTAATAGAACACACACACCAAGGGGTTTTAGGGGTGTCTTAGCCCCACAGTATTTGTTTCCAGAGAGTAAGTCATCTGTGTAC